CTATCTATTCTACCTTAAAATAAAGTGGACAGGGCCTTATTCTCAAGATCAAATCAAAATTTTAAGAAGTACATTAATCTGATTGGATAATAAAACAAATTTTTAGAATTAATTGCAGTAACTGACCAATCAGATGATTGTAATACTAAAATCACTTTCAGTTAAGTTTTTCCAGAATGAGGCCTGCATGTTTTATGTTTTAAATGGGTCCTAGACCTTCGTAAATATATTTGCTAGACTATAATAATATACTACTTCTCTTAGCATTCTACTTTCACTTTTCAACTCTTACAGGTTGCTATTTATAGATAAGGGGCAGACAATAAGCGTTTTTTAGAATTACAGCAGAACAATACACCAGTTCCAGATAGTGATAGTAGAAACTGTCAATAGTAAATGTCAACTGTCAATGTTTCTCAAAATAATCTTTCCCTTAATTTATCTTGTAGATTTTCACTCTAAGATGGAAATTTTGTAACAAGATTATCTGAGACACTTGGCTCTAGATTGTTCTTGATTAGGATAGTGAGTGTACAACCAGGGAAATTTTGACAAGAATTTGACCTGCTCTGTTTCAATATATATTTATGGTTACATAGTCTTGAAGGGATTGTAATGAGATTTTCTAAATTTTGTATGTATATCAGGGACAATGTTAGCATCAATTTACACCATTCTAATTTTCAATCAGAGATCTGTGGTTCCTGCACTAAAACTAAGTAATTTATGACGTCATCCCTGTGAAGCTCTTATGTAATACAAGCAAATTTTGCAGGGTGACGTCATAAAACACTTAGTTTTAGTGGAATTGCAGGAACCACAGAACATCTGATTGAAAATTGGAATGATGCAAATGAATAATACCAGTGTCCCTGATAAGCATAAATATTTAGAAAACTTCTGAACAATTACTTAGGTTCACAGTGTTTATGACAAGCTACCAACAGCAGATTGTTTGAAAGAAACAGTAAATATTTCCGATTTTAACATAAAAAACAACAAATCAGCAAATGAAGTTTGAGGTGAAATAAACATCAATTAAAGTGTAATATAAAAACTTGCATACAATATAACACCGGATATTGAATTGGTGACGATCACATGTAGGTTCAATGAATTGTTATTAACATGTAGTTAGGGTAAGTTAATAGCCACCTTTGTTTTATCAGTTGGACCCTTTGTCATTTTCACAATATCAAGCTCTTATGAACCTTTATCTTATACCTTGACTACCATAGGTCTTATGTCTTATATCACAGAATGCAGTGATTTGATTGGATTGTACGCTAGTGAATCAGCCAATCAGAGCCTGGACAGAAAGACTGTAAACATTATGGCTTATTGTATAGACTTTTTGTCCAGGGCTCTGATTGGCTTATTTGCTAGTGTACAATCTGATCAAATAAATGCATCTACAAACTTCTATGATACACAAAAGGTGACTATTGCAGTCAAGGTATTAGACAAGATCGTAATAGCTTGAAATTGGATCAATTTCTCCAAACTGCATTCCATGATACAAGAAAGGTGGCTATTGAAGTTAAATTGCTGAAGTTTGTAATAGGTTGATATTGTAAAGATGGTTTAAATACAGAATAAAGTGTAGTATTTTCATATTTTAATGACTAAATCCCTAAAAAGATTCATTAAGACTGAAGTACGAAGGTCACCATCATTAAAATTGTAATTTAACGAACATATTGCTTCAAAATAATATTCTTGATTTTTACAGAACAGAGAATTGTTTAGAACAGAGACATTTCAATTTACATAGTTAAAGGCTTTCCTTAAAAAATATTGTTTGGTAACCTCACCTAATGTTTCCAATAAATACCACTGACAACAAACCATGTCTACTAGTTATAAAGATATCTTAGTTCAAAATTAAAACTTGGATAATTTTGGATTAGGAAGTTTTTTTTTTTTCTCACAGAATTGGATATTCAAATTTCTAAATTTTTGATAAAATGTGGGGTTTCTTCTGAAACAAAGTCACTACTCTATCAAATTAGATTCTTTAAATTATTCACTGAAATAAACAAATTCTCACAACTTGATTTTAGGAAATTTCTATAAATCATTTCATCAAAATTTCCACGGAAAATTTGGCACAGAAAAATCCTAAAATTGGGTGAACACTCTCAATATTTTTATTTGAGATCTTAATTTTAGGTTTAGTCAAACAAGAATTTAAATTTGATCAGCACTAATTGAAATTTCATTGACATGCAGCAAAAAAACACCCCCTTTTCTTATATGAACTCTTCTCTACATACATTACAATGTATTGAAAAAAATTGCAGAGTTCAATATAGTTTAGGGGTGTCAAGTAGATAACTGATATTTCCAAACTTTCAGGTTTTAAAACAATGTCACCATTCTTGTATGAGAATCCATTAAACATTAACAACCAGAATATTTTACTGAGTTCACAACCTATTTTTATACTAAATATATTGTAGACAAACCTCATTTTTAGTTTTTAGAAAACAAATGTTATCTGACTATTACGTTTTAGAGTGGTGGAAAGAATCATTTAAAATCAATAAAGTTGTTTCCTCATCTTTGTATATGTATTGTGTATTTGGATATACTTATAGCTTCTTTAAAAGTTATATGAATTTCCCAATTTTCGTGGTTTCCGTGAAAAACTAATGAATACCCATACAAAGGCAACAAAAATTTTCTGAATTTATGGAAAAACTGAGAATAAAAAAAAAGACCAAAATTGCATACGGAACAAGCATAGCTCAACATAACTAAAATAAAACATTAAAAAATCACCTTTTCTTTAAAAAAAAAAAAAGAAGCACATAATTTTATAAAATCTTTTTTTTGATAAAATATAACCAACGCTAACAAAGTTTAACTACAGTTCGGGACATTTCAAAACATAAACAATAAGAATCAGTTTTATTTTGAGGTTGAATAAATAGTAATCCAAGCTATATTAGTCTGAGTTCTGTTGTCAAGGACAACGTATGGTACTATATAGAAATAATACACAAACCTAGTTCACAACCATTTTGAATGATATTGACCAATCATATTGATTTAAAAATCTCAACACAAGAATATCTTACTATGCCCTTTCGAACAATAAACCAGACATAATAATATTGTGTTATATACTACTTAAACAACCTCAAAATAAAGTGGATTAGTCTTGTTTCTGTTTTGAACTATTCCTGCACGTGCACGAACATCCTTGCTGACACTTATAACAGATTCTTTAACAAACAAATATAATTTGTAGGACTGTGATATGACTACAACTATTCACCGCTTCTAAACTTATTCTCCACAAAGATTTATTTTCATTCAGGACTTTAAAAACCCTTCTCTTAAAAAAGGAGATGGTAAAGAGGTTTCTATACTTTATGTATCAGGGTCACCCTTCCAATTATCAATCAGACATCTGTGTTTTTTGTAACAAAATCTGCCAATATCAGATGTCAGTTAAGGTTTAGTTTTAGTGGAATTGCAGGAACCACAGACATCTGATTGAAACTTTGAATGTTGTAAATTGATGCTATCAGTGTCCCTATTCGCATAAAAATTGAGAAAACCTCTTTACAATCTCTTTAATCTTTTCCAAACATTTTATATTTTGAATTTGAAATTTGCCATTTTCTGAGAAACAACAAAAGAAAACACAGAAGGTTGTTTTATAAAATAGTATTATATATATTTCACCTATTAGATTCACTCAACATTCATTCTTTATAACATGTTTACATTACTTATAGTAATAGTCTGAAACTTGCTGACTCTTACCTAGCACCAGGAGGCGCTCGGGTTGAAATAAGTCAGTTGTCTGAAGACCACACAGAAACAACATGTTTCAGGTTTTAATATTTTTTAGTCTTGGATAGACATTGTTGACAGCAAGCTAGAAACTAACTGAACTAGTTGACTAGTGAAAATGCTGCTAACTTCAACACAGTATTTTAGTACATGGTCTATGAGAGCTATTTTGACAATTTGTGGCTAGCTAGAAACTTGCAGTGTCATGCCTAGCAAATGATAGCTATTTCAGTTATCAGCCAGTTTTGCAGACTCTTGCCTAGATAATAATATCCCACAGTTTAACTGTGACTGTTTGACTTATGGCAACATTTCAGGGTCAGCAAATTTCAGACTGATAGTATTGATAGTGATATAAGTTGAAAACTTGAATAACTCAGAACCAATTTCTAGAGAAAACTTTCACCAAAATCTGAATGCAAGTTCACAAAATACATCAGAATTGCACTTGTTCAAAATAAAATATCAGAAGAGTTCGGAAACAATTTACAGAATTATCAAGTGATTATTGGTATCTTGTATGTTGGCATATATTGACTGTTTTGTGATGAACTTTGACCTATGATTATTTAAATTCAATTCCTAACCAATCAAACTGTTTCGATTCCTTTATATCATATTTGAATCAAGACCAGCAAATTTTTGCAGGTTATTTGTGTTAACGTTTATAAACTGTCTATGACTCTGAATGGTCTGCCGTAGAATTTAGAAAGATAAAGTTTCAGATATCAAGATGATTATCAACTTATATCAGCATCAATAAATTGATTTAACACAATCGTCAGTAAGCTGGACTTTAATCATACGATGTTTTCACTACACATTGGAGAACCACACGTAATTCTTGCAACTTCCAAACACCACTAAATATTGACTTTACCATCTGATAGAGCTCATATATTTCAAATATATTTTCTACCAGCTGATAGAGCTTAATTTTGGCTGTCCACATCAAGTTTTAGAACTAAACAAGAGTTGTAAGCTTTCTGAATAGTAGCCGTGTGTAATATAAACCTGGTATGGACCAGCTAACTGACGAGGCGTTATAATTACTAATGAATATATCTTTAACACATTCATACCTCCATTGTTTTAAAACAGAATTACTAACCAAGGCTGAATGGAGTGGTCACTCTTACCGTGCATATATATTGAAACGAAGGTGGAGTGTGGGGTAGGTCAGGTGACACAGGTCACATGGCCTTGTGCCTGGCTCCACAATGCCCACATGACACCCCACACCTATGGCAGGCCGTAAGTGGAAAATAGCACCACAAACATGGTAGAAAGAAGGACAATATAGTCATGGCCGTCCATTTCTTACAGTTTGATGAATCGTTCCCATCACACTGACAGGGATGATGATATTCACCGTCTGCGTCCGATAGACAATGATAGTTTAAGCTATGAGCACATATAACACATGTGACACACTCAATGCACTTTGTGACACGGTCTGGGGCGTCCTCACAACTTCCGCGAACATTTTCATCCAATGAAAACATCTCATTACAATGTTTGCAGACAGACTGCTGTCCAAGAAGATTCTGAGTTGCATTTTTATTCATTTTGTTGATTGGCAACGCAACAGGTGGATGGGGCTGAGATAGACATTGCCGTTTTGAACTAGATTCGCGTTTCGTAGGTGGTTTTTGGGTCGGTTCCAGACTGGGATAACTATACTCGTGAGGAGCACCGGGCTTATTTTTAGCGAAATAAACATAAGCGTCTTCCTTACTTAACTCTAAGTCTAATAACCCTTGGTCAGACTTGCCACTGAGAGAGGTGGGGTCGTCTCCACGCACCCAAGGATCGTCCAATCCACTACTACTTTCGAAGCTGTCTGATTTGTGAGAACCACTTTTCACACTGTGAAAGGATGAGTTGACACGGCGAGAATGAGGAGGTTGGGAGATATAATGAATACGATGTAAATGATTAGTCTGTGATTGATAACTGAACGACTCCGATAAACCAGGTATAACGGACGTAGGTGAACGTGGTGCTGGACTACTTGTTGTCGTGGAGGTTGTACTCGCTGACTGTGATGAACTACCTGTTCGACCCCGAGGAAGATCGATCATCTGAAAATAAACCAAAATATCGTTAAAAAACAGCGACAACAGTAAAACATGTCTCCATTACACTAAGCTCTGTGATTGTCCAACACTTTTATAATAAACTTCAGGATGAATTCTCTAACATCTATACTTAACGTTTGGTGACTGCTTACAAAAGGAATAAAAATCTGAGTAATGTTCTTGTCCATGGTAGATTAGATCCCCTTTCATTAACTCTCTGAAACAATCACTTTGCATTTCTGAATTATTTGTTTATCTTGTAAATCTCTGCCAGAAGTAGGTAATTTTCTATCATATTGATGTATTCCAATACTGAGTCTGTACATGTGACCTAGGCCAGTGCTTCTATTAGAGAGTTTCTCTTATAAAACCTTATACTAAGTTTGCACACAGCGAAGAACATTTATTATAGTACCATTTCAATCTAATCTTTATTACTCAAATTCAAAATGGATGTAAAAAGAAGTATGTTTTCATCTTGTGACCTTGACCAGTGCTTCTATAAGTGAGTATCTTCTATAACACCCAACATGAAGTAAATTTGAAACACGCTTCTATTATCCACGACTACGTTTAGAAGTGTTACAATAAACTAATACTGACCTGAAATACTGAATCTTCATCTATATTACTTGATGGACAACCGTTTAAATAACCTGTAATATATGTTACATTCTATTACAGGATAAAACTTGGGCTGTGTCAGTGGGGGTTCAGGGAGGGCATTTGAAAATCATTAGAAAAGTAATTTGCACCCCTAACTGTACCTCACTTTATTTTCAACAAACCTATATGTCTACCCGTCTCCAAAATATGTGTCAAAATGCACAAAATCAATTCATTTTTTCTCAAACGCTCTATGAGAGGCTTGCGACTATGATTCCACCAAAGAGCAGCCAAAATTTGAATTCAGCCTCAGCAGTTGTCCCCCCATTGAGTCAGTCTGCCCCCTATTTGTACCCCCCAGTATCGGAAGGCTGGCACTGCAAGTACTACTGGCTGGATATATATTGGTGATACTTTGTGATACAATATGCAACGATGTATGTTTATTGTGTTGTATTGATACTATACAATACTAGCCAGGTATATCAAACAAACATAACTTGTTTCGACTAAATGCAAGAGAAATCAAAAGCATATCTTCCGTTACTTTTTACTGTTACGATTTTACTTAATATCTAAAAATATGAACTAGTAGATATCACATTAAAAAATAGTGTTAGTTTAATGTTTAAAATCAAACATTAGTTGAGGTACCATACTGTATCCCTGTCACTGACATACATATTAAACATCATAGCATGACTGGTCATAACCAGCACAGGAAATAGAAAGAGAAGAATTATCTTTTAACTCTTGTGGTTTTAAATTTCGTAAGCCAAGCTGGACAACTGGCATTAAAAAGTGGTTTGTATTTTCTTTCATCATCTTATCTCCTAAAGATTTGCCAACAGGATAATGGTGATATGATTAATGTAAATAAAATATATCAGTGTTCCTTAAACATATACCATGATCAGAAAATCTCTTTAGCATCTATTCATGTGAATTATTGCCGAAAACAGTAAAAATAAGCTGGTCCCTTAGACATGTACATGGTCATACAGGAAAGGCTTATTAAAATTAAATGAAATAAATAAAAAATCTTACTGAATGTTAGCTCCGTCACGGCTTTATTCATAGACTTATCAAACGCTCTGGCATCGTACGAACTTTCAAACGTTAACCCAAACTTCTTATCGTCTGTTTTCCAATGGAGAAATTTCGGGTTCACTTTAAAATATTCTATATCTGATTTTAACGAACAGTTTAACACAGTCTGAAAATAGAAACAAAATTTAATTATTATTAATGTATATTCATTTACATATTATTATTCACCAATAGAATGCTGAAGTGCTGTCCTTTACAGGAATAGAGGCCTCATTTTCAAAATAACCATATCAAACTTCCAATCAAAATTATCATCTTTAGTGGATATGTTAAATATAGACACAGCTTTATGGAAGTTATGTTTCTGAAGGTAACAGGTGAAACGTTACATAAAACTTTAACAAGTGATTTCTGATCCATGAAGCTGTGTTTATGATTCTACTTAAAATTGTTAATTGTCATTAAAAGACTTTCTCAGTCCTCAAATGACAATATTTTATGAAGGGAACAAAACAAGTATATTTTACAAGTATATTTTACAAGGATAACAATCAAGGATCAGCAAGGATCCTTTCTACCAGCTAGTCCTTGGCCAAAACCTCTAGGCATTGATCTTTCCCTGATTTACTGTATACATTTACAGCTTAATATTATATCCATTTAGACAAATGACAAATACAACCTTGATGATCTCAATGACATGGTAGACATCAACTCAACATATCAGAGACAAACTACTATAAACCTTCAGCTCGTTAGCTTAATTAAGGCAATCACTAATTAGCTCATTATCTTAGTACAACTAGTTTAATCAGAGACAGAAATGTCAAGTTATAATTTTCTTTGATGCACTGGAATATATGAACTATTCTAGTCAACAGGTCAGCTTACAAGAAAAAAAATTATTTAAAGTTTGCCATTTTCAGGGGTTGATTTGTGTTTTGAATATATGTAAATAGTCTTCAAAAGTACTAGTCAAATGTATAAAAATCTCATAATTCCTTCAAAAATATCTCCAACTATGGTTCTCATCAGCATGTTTTCTACTGCAGGTGTTTTACAATGTAAATATAAACAACAAAACCACAACACAAGTTATCCTCAATTATTCACAATTTTATTTATTCTTTTCAAAACTTCTTTTCTTCATTCCTTCATTCATTTATTCAATTTTTATTCACTTGCTCCATTATTCAAATCATTCATATATTCTAAAATCCTCATTCATTAATTCATTTGTTCGTTCATTCATTTGTTCGTTCATTCATTCATTTTCAAATTATTCATTTATTCAATCTTCACTCAATTATTTATTAATTAAATTTTATTCATTCCAATATAACTTCATTCATACATTCAATAATTGTATTTATTCATTCAATAATTGAGATTGTAACATTCCTTCAACTAAGATACAATGTATGACTGTATTATTATCTATTTATTTTAAACTTAGGATTGGTTCAGTGAAACAGTTGTCTAAATATTCACTTTATCTCTCTATAGCACTCATTATAATCAAATAGTAACTAGCCCCTGAAATTAGGCAGACCATGCTTACTCTTTTCAAAACACCTGATGGTACTTCTCTTTGGAAGAGTCAACTACTATACAACTCTTGTTTTTGTCAATCTTTGGACGATTTTTTGATTGATTGCATGGTCTTACTTGTACTGATTTTTACTTGTACTGATTTTTACTTGTACCGATTTTTACTTGTACTGATTTTTACTTGTACTGTACTGATTTTTACTTGTACTGATTTTTACTTGTACTGATTTTTACTTGTACTGTACTGATTTTTACTTGTACTGTACTGATTTTTACTTGTACTGATTTTTACTTGTACAAAAATTTCTTTTTCAAAAAAGGGCATAGGGCATATTACTAAGATTTTTCTTCATAAAGGCTTAACATAACTTGTGATCAATACTATATTTAAATAACAAAGGAAGGGAGGGGTTCATAACATTCATATTATTAAATTACATATCACAAGTTATCTACCAAACCTAATATGGCATTTCAAAAATTTATAATGCAGCCCTTGTGGAATTTGCTTACTTTGTATTCAACTGGGGGCGTAGCTACACCTGATAGTCAAGGGGCAAGTAAAATATTTGGTGGGGCAAGTAAAATATTTGGTGGGGCAAGTAACATATCTGGTATCTGGTGAGGTAATGAAGGAGTGGAGGTGATTGTTGGTTACAGAAGTAAAGAGTAAAATTGACCTTCTAGGCTAGCAGGTTAACACCATGGACCTTCAGGTTAACACCATGGACCATCAGGTTAACACCATGGACAACACCATGGACCTTCAGGTTAACATCATGGACCATCAGGTTAACACCATGGACCTTCAGGTTAACACCTTGGGCCTTCAGGTTAGCACCTTGGGCCTTCAGGTTAGCACCTTGGGCCTTCAGGTTAGCACCATGGACCTTCAGGTTAGCACCATGGACCTTCAGGTTAGCACCATGGACCTTCAGGTTAACACCTTGGACCTTCAGGTTAACACCTTGGGCCTTCAGGTTAGCGAGTATCTAACACACTAAGCCCTGTTCACAATTAAAGAGTAAAATACCACAAAAAACTCCACGAAATAAAATAAAAAACGTAGAAGGACATGAGGTGAGATAGTGAATGAAATACGCCCCATCATATCTGAATGTCAGGTAAAATTAGGTTGATAAATTTACAACCTGTTGGAGTTGACAGGTAAACCATGATGCTTGTATTTTACCTTCACATCATATCATTCATATTCAAAGTAGTCGTTCATTCATATAGTCGTCTAAATATTTACATTTATATTGAATATATGTAAATAGTATTAGAAATGTACGAAAATTGTATGATTCCTTCAAAAATATCTCTAGCTAGGAATTTCCCTTTCTATATCTGCTTGTCTCTTTTCTATATGTTGTCTATATTCTGTGTCTCAAAAAAGGACGACTCATCATTTTAACTTTCAAATGCAGGTAATTCTGGAGATGGTTTTCAGGGCTCAAAATGTAACGATGAGCTGTGAACACTATTACTGATAAATATTCACTTAAACAGCTGATAGAGCTCAAATTAAAAGCCAAGCCCACACCATCATATTTTTCAGTGTTACTTTAATGTACAGGTGTTATTATAGCCTAGCCTATATACCATGTTATCATTCATATAGACCAAGGTTTTTATCCCTTTTTCTTTCTATTATCCCCTCTCAGTATTCTGATTGATTGTAATACACTTCTAAAAACCCTGAAAAGATGCTAGATATATAGTAATGCAGACAAAACTTTTCCCATTGAACACTGCAGGTTGTCCTTTCGTTGAGTCAAGAGCAGAAATACTGCAAATCATATCCAGTTTTCCTTTAAAATACATCTATTATTCACATGTATACACCTAGACTGGCAAAATTTCCATCATTACACACCGAATGCCCTATAGATATGCATACAGAATAAAGTCCTAACAAAATTTGTCTCACGAACAAACCAAAACGAGCAGAAAAACAGGAAATGAACCTGCCTCTTTAAATGGTTATCAGTAAACCTAGCCTATAATGATAGACTCTACCATTCATATAGAGACTAGATAGATATACAGTATATATAGTATAGTATTATAGTAAAACCTTAGTAAAATTCGCCTAATCTGCACAACATTGCCTTTCATGACAGAAACAAGATTTCAGTTCTCTAGCTACTTTAAACTTCAGTTATCAGTAAGCCTAGCCTATATACCACTCTACCATTCATATAGCAGCTAGATATAATGTAGGAAAAACCTGACAGAATTATTAATCTTCATGACTTTGTCCTTCAGTAGCCTTATACAGGAGCAAAACTGGCTCTAGCCACTTTAAACTTCAGTTATCAGTAAGCCTAGCCTATATACCACTCTACCATTCATATAGAGGCTAGCTTATATACATATATATACCCCTGGCAGGCGGCTGACACCATTCCAACCTAACTTATTATCTAAACAGGTCTGCATTTTAATCATTTAGTCTAGAAACCTGCATTCTTTCAAACTGGTACAAGCGTTAAAAACAGCGTCTTACCGTGCCTAGAATTTGATCTTAGATCTCTTCCTTAACTCGTAGTTTTAAAATTCCATTATTTTCACAATATACGATAGTTTTCTGTCCTATACATATTAAATAATACAGTTTTAATGTTACGTGAACACTGACATGAAGCTATGAATGGTTGTTAAATTCTATAACCTATCTCTCTCTCTCTCTCCTGCCCGACCGACCAACCGACCTGACAGTTCACTACAGGTAATACTGAAGTTAATATACAGAGTTGAACGTGGTTTATCTTCACCTTAATATTATAATAACTATATCTTATACCTCATTAACATCCAAGCTATATAATATAAACAACTCATTCTTACACTCTACTTAGTTAACAAATACTGGTTTGTCATTGGTCAACTAAACTCAGTCAACCAATCAAATTACACAATCTATAAACCAGGTTTAGAGTGTCATTATACTTTTAATTCATACTGTAATGAGGTCAGTTTACAAATACTTATTAATGATTGGTCATTTATTGCCAGTCAACCAATCAAAATACAGGGCTTATAAACTAAGTTTTGATTGTCAATGAATTAAACATCAAAGCTGTGTAAAATTACTCTGTTGCATTCCTACACATGAATGTAATTGAAATATTTATGTCAAAAACTTGATGAGTGAAACCAGTCCCATTGTAACAAATAACTTGACAGGTGTCACTAGAGAAATAAAATGAAATTAATAGAGTTTTACATCCTGCTCTTTCTGCACTTATATGGGCTAATGAAGACAGGCAACAATACCAGGGTACCATGAGGGAAATTTTGACAGGAAAGCAGCATTAACCTGCTCTTTTCAATTTCAACTGTTAAATGATTTTTAATGCGTACAGCCTGCAGCACACAGAGCCTCAGTTAATTGTCTAATCCAATCAAATCTGTAGGTATTATCAAGACCTATGCCAGGACTGAAACCTGGACATTCAGGTTAGTAAGCAAGTGTCTAAACTCGCTAAGTCTACATGGCTCAGTGTCACTAGCAAGGCAGGGGTTGCTCACACTTTCATAACACCCGATTCAACTCTGAACCTGGGCTTATCAATCTTTACACTGTGATTATTTTAGGAATATAACTTG